GCTGCCAGTGACCAGGGAGGGGATTTAAAGGCAGCATTTCACTCACCGGAGCCTCAGAGCTGCTCAGTGTTCCAGCAGCAGCAGCCTTCTAAGGCAATAAAAATGCACGTGTATTGGGTAAATTAATAAAAAATTAGGGCACTGCTTTGTTGGAGTGCTTTTCCTGTGAGGAGAGTGGAGCAGGGCATGGAAAGCTCAGCTGGGAGCTGTGGGGAGGTGTTTGTGCACCCCTGGCCCCCTGGCAGAGGCAGGGACTTGCAGCACAGCATCCTTTATCAGAATGATCAGGGGTATCACATCACCCCATGCCTGCAGCAGTTTATCCTTTATCAGACTGATCAGGGGTATTCCCTCCCCTGCCTGCTCTCCAGGGAAGGGTTTTTGTGCTTCTTGTGCAGCAGTTACATTTAGAGGCTGGAAAGAGAAGAGGCCCTTGAAGATTCAGAGGGTAAAAATAATTACCTGTGATTCCGAAAATCAATATCATTTTTTAACCAATCTGGCAAGACCGCGTCCAACTAATTAGTTAAGGAAAAAATTATTTATGTAAGATTAGGACTTAAATGTCTCCAATAAGATATTCATTGCCACAGTATTGAGGGGGCAATTGTGAAGTATTAACTGACTTAGCACAAACAGAAAACAACAACTATTCTGATTTGAAGGAAGTCAACAAGAGAGGAGAAAGACTTTTTACAAGAGCATGGAGTGACAGGACAAGGGGGAACTGCTGCACAGTGACAGGGGGCAGGGACAGATGGAATATTGGGCAGGAATTGTTCCCTGGGAGGGTGTGAGGCCCTGGCACAGGTGCCCAGAGCAGCTGGGGCTGCCCCTGGATCCCTGGCAGTGCCCAAGGCCAGGCTGGACACTGGGGCTGGAGCAGCTGGGACAGTGGAAGGTGGGAACAAATCATCTTTAATGTCCCTTCCACCCCAGAGCAGTGTGAGGTTTTATGAATAACCTGAGGAAGGATATATATTCCTTCCAGGAATAACCTGGAAGGAACTCACAGGGATCACCAAGGTTTAAGGTCCTTCCAACCCAAACCATTCCACAGTTCTGTGACTGTACAGACCAAAACTGAGTTACAGCCAGACCGAGTGACTGACCCGGGGTCACACAGACCATGTGCAGCAGAGGCAAAGCCAGCAGCAGCATGTTCCAGAGCAATGTGCTCATTAACCCCCAGCTCATCCCTCCTCTCCCCATCCCTGAGCCGTTCTTTCCGTGCCTCAGGGACAGAATTCCAGTGCAGTTCCACAGCCTGTTCAGCATCTCATCCCAAAGGGCTCCTTGCCTTCCCTGAGTAAAGCCATTCCCATGCACACGAGCCTCTGCACAGCTGCTCCCTGGGTGAGAAACATTTCAGAACATGCCCCCTGCGAGGGGAGAAGCAGCTGCCCCCCTTTCCTCCTACATGTGTATTTTGCATCTGTAAACCATAAACATATGATAAAAGCACTGCAAACCTCGGTGGAGCTCGGAGGCAAAACCGATCTGTTTTGCTCTGCCAGTTTGAAAATGGTTTTCTTGATGAAACTCATGAGTCTGCTGGAGACTGAGACACAGATGGATGAGCTGAGCATATGATAAACCTGCTGCATGAGTTTCTAGTTAATTGCCCATCATCTTTTTTGTCTCCCCATAAAACATTTCACGCCCACCTTGCACAGTAAAGGTAACCCGAGTGTCACAAACCATTTGTCTCCTGTGCTGCCCTGCTGCACTCCCCGAGCTCCCGTGCTGAGAGCCGTGGAGACAAGACAGAGCTGCTGAACCCTGCTGCAGATGAGGCACGCTGCAGCTTTGATCAAATGATCTCCATTCTCTAATGAGAAGAAACACCTCCCAGAGTCATTTGCATGCTAATATCTTTATTTCTAAGACAATGAGCCGCCAGTCAGCACCGACACTGCCTCTCCATGAGCCAAGGGTGGAGAGAGGCCAAGGAACCAAGTCCCTTCCCCTGGGCACAGAGGGGACTTGGGGCACAGAGAGGGGCAGAGGGGTCCAGGACAAGAAGCATTCCCTGGTGAGAGCCCATCACTGCTGGACTGTGCAGGGCCAGGAGCTGGACTTGGGGATCCCTGGGAGCTCCTTCCAGCTCAGGATATCCATAAAATCTCACACTGCTCTGGGGTGGAAGGGACATTAAAGATCATTTGTGGCAGGGACACCTCCCACTGCCCCAGGTGCTCCAGCCCCAGTGTCCAGCCTGGCCTTGGGCACTGCCAGGGATCCAGGGCAGCCCCAGCTGCTCTGGGCACTTGTGCCAGGGCTGCCCACCCTCAAGGGAAGGATTTCATCCCAACATTTAATCTAAACCTACCACTCTCAGCCTTAAACCATTCCCCTTGTCAGCAGTGCCTCTATCCTTTCTGGATTTCTGCAATCACATTTTCCATCCTGCCCTGCCCTCGGAGCTGCTGTTGCAGCAGGGTCAGGGTGCCAGGCAGGGGGCTGGTGCTGCAGGTACCCAGAGCTCCCCACACCGTTCATCACCCCTGCATTCCCCTCTCCCTCCCTTTTTATTTTCACTGGGGGACAAAAGCTCCCAGAGGTAGGTCATTTCAGGGCAGCACTGACAAAGACAAAACGCTGGCAACCAGCACAGCTCTGAACGTGCCCTCAGAAAGCTCTGCTGGTGTTCTGCTCCTCCCTGCCACAGCTCGGGGGCAAACAGTGTCACTCTGCTGCAGTGCTGGGACTTGTCCTGCCTCCCGACATCCCTGCTTGTCTGAGCTGAGCGATTCTGGTGGGCAGCACTCACTGAGCAAAGGGAAAAGGGAGGGAAGGAAACCTCCTTTGCACTGAGTCAGTTCAGAGCAGCTGGAAATGGAGCTTTCAGAAAAATTTTTTTCACTGAAAGAATAACAAAATACTGGAATTGTCTTCCCGGGGAGGTGGTGGAATCACCATCTCTGGATGTGTTTAAAAGAAGACTGGACGTGGCACTTGGTGCTATGGTCTATTGAGGTGTCAGGGCATGGGTTGGACTTGATGATCTTAGAGGTCTCTTCCAACCTCATCATTCTGTGATTCTGTGGCTCTGTGACTCTGTGATTCAGGGATTCTGTGACTCTGTGACTCTGTGATTCAGTGATTCCGTGATTCTGTGACTCTGTGACTCTGTGATTCTCTGATTCTGTGAGTCAGTGATTCTCTGATTCTGTGAGTCAGTGATTCTGTGATTCAGTGATTCAGTGATTCCGTGACTCTGTGATTCAGGGATTCTGTGACTCTGTGAAGCCTTTCCTCCATCAGAGCAGGCCCTCTGGAAAGCCCCAAACCCTCCAGAGGTGGCAGAGCTTCCCAGCAAGCTCCTCCTGAGCAATGGAGCCTGGGAGGAGAAAGGAGCAAAGCCCATGGGCAGCTAAAGGAATTAGCCCCACTTTCCCCAGCGTGTTTTCCAGTTCCTGGCCCTGATTTACAGGATGGAAATCTCCAGCAGAGAGATGTTCCCTGCTCCCCTCAGGGCACAGCTTGCCTTTCCCTGCCCGGAGCAGCAGAGAGCAGAGAGATGCCAGCACAGGGCTCCTGCTCTTGAAAAGCTGCTGGGAACAAGGAGGATTCTGCTGAACACCTAATTTTGGAATTTGCTGAATAGCAGCAGAAACGGCTCAGGGAAGAGGAACAAACTCTTCCAACATCACCGTGCAGCCTCTGCTGAGGCATTAACAACACCACAGATCACACAAGTGGGACCTGGATTTGTTGTATTGGGTTCTATATATATAATATTGATTATATTTTGTTATAGTGGCAGCTCTCCAGAGGGACTCACACAAAGTCTTCACCTTGCTAATGAAGCTGGTATTTATTATATCCGAGCATGCAGACACATTTTGTTGATTTTGGTTATGTACTTATGGGTTTGTGTCCTTACAGCTCTCAGTGCATTAAAATTGCATGGTTGCACTGCCCATTTGATATTTCACCTCTTTTTTTAGCCTAAACCTTAGTTTTACTCTTTGAAAATACAAGAATAATATCCAAAGGTAAAAATTATATTTATCTAAGACTATGAGTGTTATAACCACTTGAGAAGTGATGGAAATTATTAAAACCACTCCTGTCCTGATATAAGGCCAAGAATGGAAATAATCTTGTTAGCAAGGAATTAGAAAGCCTCTCCCTCTCTCAGGTTTCTGCAGAAGTGCCTCAGAGATGCTCATTTTTCCCCATGGACCTGAGAAGAGCCATTCCACACGCTCTGTTTTTCTTTCTGACTGCATTAAAACAAACACTCAATGGAGGAAGTTTTTCCCCATCTCTTTCAAAAGGCTGCCACCATATGGGGGATTGGTTTTAATACAAGGCTCAGTTTGGGATTGGTTTTAATGCAAGGCTTAGTTTGGGACTGGCTTTAATACAAGGCTTAGTTTGGGACTGGTTTTAATGCAAGGCTTAGTTTGGGGTTGGTTTTAATACAAGGCTTAGTTTGGGATTGGGTTTAATACAAGGCTTAGTTTGGGATTGGGTTTAATACAAGGCTTAGTTTGGGATTGGTTTTAATACAAGGCTTAGTTTGGGATTGGGTTTAATACAAGGCTTAGTTTGGGATTGGTTTTAATACAAGGCTTAGTTTGGGATTGGGTTTAATACAAGGTTTAGTTTGGGATTTTTCAGGTAGAGCAAAACCAGCTCAGCCTTGGGCCCAGGAGGGGAACGACCCTGGGAATTGTGGCACAGAAAAGCTCTGTCCCACAGAGAGCTGGGATTACCTTCCCCTCTCTAAACCTGCACTTACTGCTCCACATGGCATTGTTTTTGTTCACGTCTCACCCATTTGTGTCACACATCTCTGTGGGTTTGGCACTGCAGCATTCCAGCTCTGCTTGAGGGGACAGATCCTTGTCACCAACTCTATTCCCTTCTCTGGCACTGCTCCATGGAAGGTGGCCCTGCCCATGGCAGGGTGGAATCAGATCAATTTAAGGTCTCTGCCACCCCAAACCATTGTGCCACTCAGTTATTCTATGGCAAAATGAGCTCACCTGCCCAGCAGGAATGTGAGGATATCCTGGATCCAGAGGAATGGCATTCCCAATCCATGCACAGCAGTGGGTGAGCAGTGCAAGCTCTAACTAACTCTGAAAAGAAACATGATCCAAGGTAAAACACATTGTCTTTCTATGGGAATGAAGAATTAAAATGAAGAAAATGAGAGCAGGTCAAATGAGGGAAGCATAAAGCCTTTTGTTACATTAGAATTTCTCCACCAGATCTGACACTATTCCACACTGGAGCACATCAGCTGAAGAACCAACCCCAAAATAGTACTTGAATTTGATAAATAAAATAAATCCCCATCTCTCAGTGGAACAGATTAAGCCAGAGGTTCTCCCTGTCAAGCTATAAATGCCATGTGAAGATCAAGTTCCCATCTCACATAAGTGCTTGTCCAACAAAGCACACCAGGGCCTTCCCAGGGCACTTAAACAGAGCCAGAACCTGCAAATAATCCTGCTCTCAAATTTAATTCTTCCTGCAGGCAGGGCAGTGCCACAACCCTTCCCTTGTCCAACAAGCACAGAGCCTTGCTGAAGCCCAGAGCTGGAGCTGCTCCCCCAGTTCAGGTCATTTCCAGGACGTTCTGCCCTGCAGGTCCCACCCCCGTGTCCATGCAGGACCTCTGGGCACCCCTGTTCTTGCAGAGCTTTGGAACAAGAACTGCACTGAGCAAAAAAAGGCTGAGCAAGCCAGACTGGCAGAGCCAGGCCCCAATTCTCCTGCAAAGCAGGAATCCAGGGATGGTTCCGTGCAGGCAGCACCCTGTTGGGGCATTTCTGAGAGACAGAGGGCATGATTTATGTTTGGAATGAGATTTGAGCCACTCCAGCCAAGGACTCAGATCTCGGCCTTGCAAGGCCTCCAAGCCTGTGACACAGTTAGAAATTAAGAGTTTGTGGCACAGTTAGAAATTAGGAGTTTGTGGCACAGTTAGAAATGAAAAGTTTGTGGCACAGTTAGAAATGAAAAGTTTGTGGCACAGTTAGAAATTAGGAGTTTGTGGCACAGTTAGAAATTGGGAGTTTGTGGCACAGTTAGAAATTAGGAGTTTGTGGCACAGTTAGAAATTGGGAGTTTGTGGCACAGTTAGAAATTATATTAATGTGTGATGGGGGGCACTGGGCTGTCTGGGTGTGAAGTAGTATGGGTTGCTAGTGTGCGGTTTAGGCCACCTTAAGACAAAGATAAACAATGTTAGCTTGCCAATGAGAGTGCCTTTGTAAACTATATAGAAGTGTATATAAACTGCCATCTTCTCTCTAATAAACAGAGAATGCTAATTAACCATATTGGTTTGACGTGTGTTTGTCCTGTCCAGCTTTCCTGTCTTATGAGGAGCCTGGGTTTGGCACCCTGCACAGGGAGGGGTTCAAGAGGCAGCACAGCCTCTGGGAATCCAATTCTCTCCTCCTTACCATTCTCCCAAGAGTCACTCCAGTGTCAGAGAGGGCTGAGGAACATGCAGCTTGAGGCAGGAACGTGGGCAAATACAGGACTTGGCCTCACAGGGAGGAAAAAGGGGACTCACATCACCCCGGGTCAGTCCTGGAGCTATTCTGGATGCAGAGTGAGCACACCAGGATAAAAATGATGGCTGAATCTGAGCAATTCATTCCTTGAGCCATAATTATGTGAATGGGAAGGTATTTTTTCCTGCACCTTTCTTGGCCCAGCAAGCTGTTGGAAATAAGATATCATAGCTTTTCCTGGGGATCCCTCTAGCTCTAAATATGTATTGGAGGAGATATTTCTGGGGTTGTATGGAAAAGCATCTCCTGCACACTGTAATTGATCTCTGTTGATCCCCACAGCTGAGAACATGGCCCTGTTCTCCCTCATTTCCCTTCCTGCCAGACACACCTGGATCTTTCTGTCCACAGCAGAAAGCTGCCTGGCCCTCTCAAATGTCAGGGGGCATCACTGAGATTTTTATTGGATTCCTGTAGTGCCACTGGATGCTACTAACAGTGATATCCCAGCCTGAGGTTTTGCTTGCCTCATAAATTCAAAGTTTTCTTTCACAGCAGATGTGGAGCCTGTGTGCTGTGCTACTCTGGAATAGAAGACAATGAAAGTAATAAATTAAATATATTCAGATCATTTTACCTGGATCTGGCTCCACCAGTTCTCTTGAAGCTTGGTGCTGTTGGAACACTGCTGATGCCTCCACTGCAGTCAGGGACTGAAAAAGGAGGGGCAAACGAGGAAAAGAGGCATTTTCCCAGCCCCAGGAATGAGCTGAGTGTGCCCAGCTCCATGCTGAGCTCCAGCAGCTCAGGCCAGAGCTGTAAAACACTTGGGCTGCATAAACTCCTGGCTTTTCCTCACACACAAAGGAGGATTTTACCACAGAGCAGCTGCTGATGCCAAGGCAACTGGAAAGATAAGGAGTGAGAGGAAAAGTTATTACATTTAAAATGTTATCATTAACAACAACAGGTTTAAAAAAAAACATCATAAACTATTGCCTGCCATGCTCCCTTCCCACTGCCGTGGAACCAGCAAATGTTCCGGATGGTCCTGCTGACTGTGGAGCTTAAATGAGGTTTTATCTCCACTAAGTGTTTATTTCACTCTCCATAAAGTAAAAGGCACCACAGTTTAGAAATAATGCATTCCCAGCCCGGAGTATTATGGGGAACCCATTATTTTTATTGCTTTCTGTGTAAAGGATATTTCATATTTAGGGAACGGAGCTGTTCCCAAATAAATAAGGAGGTAGGAGCTGCATTAAAGCCTTGGTGCAAAATACCCATCCAATTATGAGCCAGGCAATGCAGGAGTGCATTGCACCTGCTCCCAGAGGTTTTATAGCCCTGAGAACAATCCCTTATTTGCATGTGCAATTACTGCAGTTGCATTTGCAATTACATCAATTGTCCAATTACATCAGCTGTGTTTCCAATGAGCTAAAAGAAAAAAAAAATAAAGTACTCATTGCTCTTTGCTGTAATAAAAATGTGATTTGCATTCACAGAAAAAAAAGGTTTCTGTTTGTTGGGAGATGAAATTAGACTACCTTGGGGTACTCTGATTTTTTTGCATGAAGCCTAAGTATTTCTGTGATATTAAAAAAGGTTGGAGCTGTTTGATAACTTGAGACTGCACAGTAATTTCTTCTCTTGGGCCACTGTAATTACTGTGCAGTTTTCCATTGTCATCAGAGAAATTATTTTACATTTAGAATTAATAGGATACAGTCTCGGGGCCAGATCCCTTAAAGCTTTCTTTTCCTAATAACTTAGATCATTAGGAGTCACATATATTCCATTTCTCAGAAATGTGCAAATGAAAGAAGTCTGAATTCCGAGCTAGGATTCTCTTTCCAGCATTACCAGCATCTGCTCTTTCTAATAACTCCACAGGTGGTAGGAAATCCCTTAATCTGCTCATCACCAATTTCCACGTGTGAAATGAGAGCTTCTGAAAGTGCAGCAACAATCAGAAAAATATAGAAATGGAATCCTGGATTTTTTAAGTGTATGGAACATTTTTAAGTGTATGGAGGATTTTCAGCTCTTACTTTAACAGTTTATGAATATAAAGTTTTGCTTATTTTCATCAGTGCTGCATAAAGGCTGTGATTTTCCCTGTGCTGCAAATTTGGGCATCAGCAGAGAGGAATTTCAGTGAGATGTTCCCAAGCCTCTCCCCATCCCCACGCTGAGGTTGTGCAGGGGACAAGGGGAGCTGGGTGCTGCAGGGCCGCCCTGGCCCCTGGAAATCCCTTGATTTTGGGCTGCTTTGCATTTTTGCTAAACCCACGACAGGAGGTGACCGGTGCAGATGTGGCCAAGCCACCATCCATGTGCAGCTGAACCTGGATATCCATGAAGATATCATGGATATCAGCTGGATATCCATGAAGAATTTCCTCAGGGGATGCTGGAACTCCTGTGCAGGTCCTGCTCCCACACCCACAGGGATAAAATCTAACCCCACATTAAAATCTGAACGTTAAAGAAGAAAATAAATCTGCTTTGGTAGATGAATGTTGCGCCTGGAGGAAGCAGAGCCTGCTCTCTCCTGAACAAAACCGACCCAGCCTCTGATTTGCTTTTCCTCTCCTCGGAAACAGATGGGAAAAACTCTGGGGAAGGGAAGAGCTGGCTGTGGGTGTCATCTGTGTGTCAGCTAAATTCAGGCTCCTGGTGAGATCAGCCTAACCAGGGCAGACAGGCTCTCTCTGCTGCCTCTACACCTCGAGCTAGGGAAATAAGAAAGGTGGTTTGGCACTGCCAGAGCCTTCCCAGGCTTTGGCACTTTTAAATGAATGTACATTGATTAATGGCCTGAAAAACTGAAAATGGCCTGGAAAACTGACTCTTGGAAAAGCTAGGAAAGCTTATTTAATTGCTACTTCAGGTCCAAAAGTAAACTAACACCTCTGTTACAGAAGTTGCTCAGTTTTAACCTCATCAGAGGCTCAGGGGTATCCTCCTCCTGCACAGTGTTTATCTTTTGTTACTTTTCCTATTCCAAAAGCATTGTTAATTTTCCTATTTGCTGCTTTCAGATGTGTTTTTCTCTTTCCATTACATAACAGCACACACTGAAGTTAAACACAAGGCAACAGCAGGAACAGATCTGTGACCAAAGCTCAGCTATTTCCACCCAAAGCTGCTGCCTCTCCCCCCACCCAGCAGACACCTCAAGCAGCTCTACTCTAGAGAGCTCATTCAAACCATGAATTAGACCTTGGGAGGAAGTTTTTCACTGGTGAAAGTGAAATGTTTTACTTCCTTTGAAATCACTCTCCTTTTACTCTGAGATCATTAAAAGCGGCGGGATCGAACAACTCCCACGTAAAACCCAGAGCTCTCAGCTGAGTTACAGCCCCAGAAGTGGAGTTTGTAAGCACTTGCAGTAATTCCTGCACTCCAGCTGTGTTGGAGAGGTTTCCAAAGAACCCTTTATTAACAGTGAGAGTGTCCCTGTGCCCTCTTCAGATGCTGAGGATGGTGCTTCACACGCCAGCGCTGGCCCTGGTGCCGGTGGCTCTCTGGAGATGTTCAGGGTGCAGATTCCTCCTTCCCTGAAGAACAGAAAAAACCCACAGCACAAAAGAGTTAATGCCAGAATGTTGGAATTCAAAACACCCTCAGACATTTTTGGAGGTTTCGGGCCCAGGTCAGAAGCATTTGAGACCCTGGCAGGCAGCTGGAAACAGCTGTGATTTTGGGTTTGAGCCATGGAATGATTTACCAACCTTGCAGGGAGAACAAGAAGTCACAAAAGTTTAGATATTACAGTAGTCACAAAGTAGAGGGAAGAATTTTTGAGTGCTGTACAGGGGGTTTTGGTTTTGTACATGGGGGTCAGAGGTTTTAAGATGGATTTGGGATTTGAGCCTGCCCTGTCCTCCCTCTTTCTCCTTCCTTACCTCCATGTTCTTGGTGATGTTGGCACTCCCAGATTGGTTTAGAGTAGAAAGGCACCATTTAATATAGGTAATAGGCATTGGGAAAAACTGTAAACATGTAACACGTAATGTACCATATAAAAGAGAGCAGCAGCCCTGGGTGGGAGAGAAGAAGCAGTCGGGGTCAGAGAGGATGTCAGGGTGTGTGTGTGCCTCTGCCTGAGCTGTGAGCAAACCACAGCAGCCCCAGGAGAAAATCTTTGAGATAACTTGCAATAAACTGCCCTGAGACCAACACCAGAGACTGCTGAGCCTTTCTGTGGAAGCTCGGGTTGGAGGAGAGACTTTTCCAGCACACGGAGCCACCCCTGACCTAGAGGTGAGCTCTGCCACCAGAACATCTTTTTACTTAGTCTGACAAAGGTACTGAGGAGCAAGAATCAGTTTTTATAGTAGAAAATGGGGTAGGTTTGGAAATATTTCTGAAAACAATAATTTCTCTTGGTGATAACATTCATTCTTGTCTCCAGTCACATTTTGTTTTCGTGTGTAATTTGTGTGTAACTGTATACAGGGCTCAGATTTCAAACCTAAACAGCAAATGTCATAAATAAAGACCTTCACAGAAAAAAAGAAATGCAGCAGCAAAGTGCTTTAATTTGTATTTGCCAGTTCTGGGAACAATTGCTGTGGATGAATGCCTGGCTCTTTCTGTCAGGGAAACTTTGCTATTAATTCCTCAGCCTGAGAACAATTCTCCACTTAGCAAAGAGCTTTGGGGTATTAAAGCTGGGACAGCAGTTTTACAGCAAGCATCCACAGAGGATGGGCCAGCAGAATTGTTGGGTGTTTGCTTGGAAGATGGAAACCCATCCCAGAGCCAGACCCAGTCATGGCTAACATGGCAAACATCACCTGAAATTCATTAACATCCTACTGAACAATATTATTTTCATTCTTTCCCTTGCCCAACTCTCCTGTCCCCTTTTCCCTTCACATCATCAGCTGCTTCCAGCCCAACATGTCCCACACCGGGTCTGTGTTTGAACCCCTGAGACAAATGGGTTAATTGGGCTTTATTTAGTTCCATGCAAAGACAGAAGCTCTAGAAACCACTGAAAGCTCCTGGGAGACGCTCCCTATTTTTATGTTAAATTCACTTTATGAGCAGCAATATAGAGGGGAAGTATTTAATTAAATAACAAGGCTTCTCTAGACATTAAACATTTGGCTTTGAGCAAATTAAATGGATAAACTCAGACCCAGTGTGGAAGAACTGGACTGACACACAAACCCACTGTGCAGTCTAGGAAACAAGCTGGAAAATCAAGAGTTCAATATTAAATGTACAGAGTTGTCCAGCACTGAAGATTTCAACACAAATCATGTGGAACATTTATGACTTGGAGGATTTCTTATTTCTGACTCAGTTTCAGCAGCACTAAATGAAGGACTATTTAGTGATGAATTTGTAAAAAGGAAGCCGTTTAAAATGCTATGCATTAAGAACTTAAGTTGACCATCCCCTTTTCTTGCCCTCTGCCTTCTGAGCTCTCTTATTGGAAAACCAGATTTCCATTAATAAAATAAATTTATTTCACTCTGTCTGTTGAGCAAGAAAAAAGCTTTGTGCAACTCCCAGCTGTGGCTTTGAGATACTGCTGCTCCCCAGTTCTTGGCAACTTCTCTCCCTTATTAACATGCCTATTTTTATAATATTTTATGGTGTCTCAGTGTCACTGGGTGCCCTGCAGAGGTTTGGTGAGCACTGTTGCATTCGTAGGTTCTTTTCTCACATTTTTGATCCTTGGAGCTGCTCGAGGTCATCCCTGAGTGCAGAAAGCCAAGCTGGGTGCTGAGATTGTTTGCCAAAAATAAATATCAGCAAGAACTGAAGAGAAACCCATGGATGCCAGGGCTGCAGGGAAAGGGAGGGCCTGTACAGTTATTTTTTATATTATATGCTGCACAGCCCACAGGGGCAAAGGTGGACACACATCAGCCAACCCACGTCCTTCCCAAGCCTTTCCTGCACCAGCTGGCACAGAATAAATTTCCAGGCAAATCCCAGCAAAAATTATGGAAATTGCTTCTCCTACCACAGCACGAGGGAAATGCAAAGCCTGTGTTGTCCCATCCAACTGGTAGTGACAACTTTAGCACCCAAAAATAAGTTGTGAGAAAGGAGGGAAAGGAAGAACCATCTGAGCTGACTTACGTGAGTGCTTTTTTTGGCTTGGAACAGGAATTATTGCCAACAAACCCCCACATTCTGACAGCCAAGGCCACACCAACCTGCAAAACAAAGCCCAGTGACACAGATTGAAGTTTCTTAAAAATCAGGGAAGGAAAAAATGGTGGTACATCCATGGTCCAAATGAACTTTTACTCTTATCCTTTGTCCAACAATCAGGAGTTTGTATCACCTCAGAACTCCAAGCACACACCATGAGAGGCAAAGTCCCATAAAACTGATTTCTCGTCTTTAACTGGAGCTTTTTGTGCTTCTCTGTGCTGGGTTTGAACAGAACTGAGCTGTGTTTGTTCAGTCCCACCACCCTGTCACCTTCACTGGCAAATCGAGTCGCTCCTGACAGATGTAGGACAACCACCTCTCCCAGGACTCCTCTCACACACAGAGAGATCAGAAACACTCAGAGTGCTTCATTTGCCTTTTTATGGCAGAGCATTGCTGCTTTTTCCTCCTTTAATTCATCACTTTGCTCCCCCAGTCTCTGCTTTACAGCGCTGCTTCATTCAGCAAAACCCCCAAGCCCCCCTTGCTTCCCGTGATCTGCAACTTAACAATACATATGCAAATGAAATTAGTGCTGGCAAAAATAATTATAGTTGCTCATGGGAGGATTAATAATTGAAGCCTGCCCTGCTTAAGCTGGGGTTTAATTCTGTTATAGGCACTAGAAGAAGTTAATTCTGCGTTCAGTGCTGTGTGTGGTGTTTAGAGGTGTTGAGTGAATGTCGAGGTAATTAAGTGGAGGGGAGGGGGTGTGGGGATACATCCCTGAGCCTTGTACAGAGACAACCATGGACTCACAGGAAGGCTGGACTGGAAGGCACCTTAAAGACCATTTAGCTCCAACCCCATTCCATGTTCAGGAAATGTTCCACCAGAGTATACAACCAGCCAGTATACAACCAAAAATGTTATATCTATCTATATCTATATCTATATCTATATCTAATCTATATCTATATCATCTATATCTATATCTACACATACACATACATATCTATACAGAGAGACATATAGGGATATATAAAAATATTTTACAATTCACTAGTGCTGATTAGCTGCTGGATGAATGAACAGCACAACCCTTTTCTCCTGGATACACCCCCGGCCATCCATCATTTGAAAGAGAACAGGATTGACTCATTCCTACCTGGTGGAATGATGCTGTATAAACCCTGCCCTCAGGCTGGGAGTATTTAATAAAAGAACAAGCTTCTTTTTATACAACATTTGTGGGAACAAATCAAACTTGGAGCGGGCTGCAAATCCCTCCCTCGTTACAGCACAGCTCTGCTCTGGCTGGGGAAAGAGGGGAGGGAAGGACACCCACAAACCTGCAGAATCCAGCAGCAGTGAACGGGGTGCTGCCCTCCCATCCCAAGGAATTCTCCTCCTTGGGAAGAGCTGGCTGGGAAAGCCCTTCCATCCTTTCTGCCCCAGCCCCAGCCCGGCCAGGGGTGCAAATCCCAGCTCAGGTGGGCGCCAGGGAAACCCCCAGATTGCAGGGATTAAGCACTTTACAGGCTGAAATCCCCTGGCTTTATCTGCCTGTTTACAGCCCTGATGAGCTGGATTAGCCGAGTGCAAACCGTGGCTACAACAGCTGCTTTTCACCTAGGATTAGCATAAAAATCAATCAGCCCCCCTTCTGGAGCCAGCAAACTCAAACTGGGAGAGTTCCAGTGAAAACAACATCCAGGTGGAAAATATGAAAGTTTTATGGAGCCAAGGAACACACGTCCAGGTCGGACATGACCTGCTGCAGACGTGTGCTCGCATTTGTTTAAAATCCACAATTTAGTGCTTGTTCCAGGGCTGAAATGAGGCAAAGCTGATGCTATTTGATTAACTTGTAACTTGATTTTAAATTGCTGCACAATTTTAAATATGTTAAGCTTTCCACTGTTTCACCAGAGATGGTATTTACCACAACAAGCTGGTTTTTTTGCTGTGATATCTTCTGGAAAAACACACTTCATTAGTGGTTAGGACATCTCTTTAAAGCCCACAAAAAGGGTCTCGGAAACATCCTGACAAACACACTACAGGCATTTCAGAATCATTTCAAATCATTGATCTGGGCTTTTCTTTATGGTCAATGTCAGGGTTGAAATAAATGGAAGAATATCATCAATAATCCAGTAATAAATAAATTTACTGCTATGTAAAGCAGCCAGGTGGATGATAATTTACAAGAGACATTTATATAAACTCCAGTGTCAAAATACTCTTCAAAATATTCGACTGCTACATGCAGCCAGACAATATGATAGAACAATCAGGTCTGTGATATTGCCTGACTGCATTTGTGCTGGTTTATTCTGACTGCATTTGTGCTGGTTTATTGGGGAGCTGCAGAAATCAGAGCAGTTGGTTTGAGGCAGAGGCAAAACCTGGAGGTCACAAAGTCCCAGCCAAGCTGACACTTCTCAGAAAGGGACAAGTGCTGAAGCACACGGGTGGCACAGCTGTGAGCTCATGAAATTTTAAAAGTGATTTGACTCAGACACTAAAACTCCTGTCTGCAGTTAATTCCAGTGCTTATGCAGGGCCCCAGAACGGTGAGAGGGACTTGGATTCTCCTCATGCTAACAGCAGAGGAGAGGAAATGCAGGTGAGGGTGATCAGCCAGGCGCCAAATGAGTTTTGTGGGAGCTCTCTGGTGGTGCTCTTTGCTTTGTGCTCGGCACTGAAGCGATATATGGAATAACTCCACCAGCTGGGGTAGCTCTGAAGTGGGTGTGTATTGTCAGTGCTTGGCACAGGTGAGATATCTCCCCAAAACCTTGTGCCCTGAGCCTGGTCTGCCCCACACCTTTATTCCCAAGGTGTTCCATGTGCAGCACATTGCACAGCTTTCCATGCATATCCAACCCCTGGCCTGTCCTCGCCTCTCATGCTGAGCAGGTCCAGGCCCTTCTGGGCATGCCTGGTTTGCTGTGGTGGTCCTGAGGGGGTCTCTGGTGGTCTCTTGGGGCTGAAGATCGTGATCTTCCTCATGGTTGAACTTTTGAGTTTTTCCTCTTTGTGCGTGTTCTTTCAGTCCTTTGGTGTTTATCTGTGTGCGTCTGTCAGTCTTGATGGGCTTGGAGACAGGGAAACTTCTTCATCTGGGTTCTTTGCCTCCCTGGGTATTGTTCTTTATGCAAGAAGCTTCAGAAATTTGCATTTTCCTATGCCCTTTGTACCATGGCAGAGGTTTCTTAAGTAAAAGGTTAAAATTCAACACAGAATTTTACAAGCTGAAATTTAAATGCTTAATGCATTTTGTTAACTCAAGCTAACCCCAAAAATCTCTGTTTGAGTACCACCCAGCATTAACAGCAACAGCCAGGGAAGGACAAGGCTCAGGCTACAACATGAGTCTGGCTGTTGCTCCTGCTTCACCTCCTGGGCTGCAGGCAGGGATGAGCATCCCTCGTGCTGCTCCCAGCCTGGGGAGGCTTCCAGATGGAAATGTGCTCAGGATGGTGGAGAGCCCCTCCACACCTGTGCTGCCCTCCTGCTTCTGAGACACCTCAGAGCATGGGGAGGCCAGGAGTGAGCAGGGAGAGCTCTTCCCATCTCCCACCTCTGCCAGCCCCATGCTCGGATTCCCTGAGAACTGCTTCCCAGGGCAGAGGGCAGGCATGGCTGGGATATGGGGCAGGGATTGTTCCCTGGCAGGGTGGCAGCCCTGGCACAGGTGCCCAGAGCAGCTGGGGCTGCCCCTGGATCCCTGGCAGTGCCCAGGGCCAGGCTGGACAGGGCTGGGAGCACCTGGGACAGTGGGAGCTGTCCCTGCCACGGCAGGGGTGGCACTGGGTGATCCTCAATGTCCCTTCCAGCCCAACCCAGCCTGGGAGCATTTCCTCCTTTCTCACAGGCAGAGAAATGCCAGTCTCCTGCCCTGGGCTCAGCAGACAGTCACAACTCTCTCTTACATCCCTCCCTTTGAGTCCAGGCCCTCCCGATGGATCAGAGGCTCTGCCAGGTCACTGTGCCCGGTGGGACAGTGCCAGGACCAAGGGCAAGAGGCCAAGCAATGACTTGGCACTGCCTTTCCTCAGAGCCAGCTCATCCTCCGACTGCTTCCAGAGCTAATTGAGCTGGAGGTGTTTCATTTACTGCCTTTAGCAGTGATATAAAACTGCTGCAGGTTTTGCCAATATCCATTAATGAGAATAACTTCAGAGCTCGTTTTTGTCTCAGATATCCAGATTGATTCCTGAACACAAACCCACCAGCTGACAGCACTTAATAGTTATTGCTTCTTCCTTTTTTCCCCCCACAATACAAAAAAAGTTTTCCTCACTTTATTTTTAAAGCTGAAACCTAAAGGAATCTCAGAGAAAGGAAATCTCAGACAATTTAATTGTCCACCATCACTATTCACTACATTTCATTTATTTATTCATCTCCTAACTGTCAAACAAATGCACCTTCACAGTTTCCTGCATTTATAAGGACAAACTTAAAATTATTTCCTCTGTTTTCCACGTGGCTTTTCTCATGATTAATTTGTTCAGACTTTCAGACAAAAACACCTGCATTTATCTCCTCTGGCCAGGTGGAAGGTACTTATCCAACTGTGCATGAAATAAACAAACATACCCGTTACTGCCTGAGGAAATATCTTCTTTCTAACACAACTTCCAAATTGCTGAAGATGATTGAAGAAATAATTAAAAAAACAAACAAAAACAAAATACTCATGAGATATTGTTGTAATGTAATGTGGCCAGAAGGCCAAAAAGCTGACCTTTGACATCACCAGATACTGGCCCTAGCAAAAATGGCCTGAACACAATCCCAGGATCATCGAGGTTGGGCAAGACCTCCAAGCCCATGGAGCCCCACCTTGTCACAGCCCAGGGCACTGAGTGCCACCTCCAGGCACCCCTTGGACACCCCCAGGGCTGGGGACTCCACCACTTTGGGACACACACGCTCCACATGAGCCTCATGCTGAATTTCCTCCTTCCCCTGGATAAAAACTCTCCTCAGAGGTGCTCAACACTGTCAGCAGCAGCAGGTCCCTGTCATTCTGTCACTGTACTTCTCCCTGCGACAGGGGCTAAAAGCCAAGCTCCACTATGATTTAATTTTACTATTTAATTGCATTAAGATTACTTCTTAAAACCTTAACAAAACAGATTTAATACAGATGTTAAATGGCACTGCAGCAGGGATAAAACTGAGGGTTGTTACCAGAGAAGCTTCAGCAGCAGAGGGTTATGGTATTTTTAGTGCCTTATTAAAACAGCACAAGTAGGAACATTTTCAGGGACATCTTGTCACATAAATAACTGGACCATTACTTTCATACATTGTACACTATATAAAATGTTAATAAACCTTCAGAAACAGCTCTACATTATAGAAACATATTTTATATTCCATAAAATATGTGGAAGGTCAGGGGAAGCACCTGGGGACCAGGGATGCTGCTGGAGCCAGGAGAGGACATCGCAAGTGGGAGCAGCTTCAGCTTCACAAAGCAAATCAAAACCTGATCCTACAGGGAGCAGGGGCTCAGGGCGGGCTCAGCCCAGGATTCTCAGTCATTATTGAACCAGAACATCATTCCTCACCAGATAACATCCATCAGATAAGATATATGAGCCCCAGACAGGTCCAAAGTATGTGCTGTGGTTTTCTGGAGTAGCTAAAGAGCAAAATAATTCCAAGTTTGGGCTGTTTCTTGTTTGGCTCAGCATGTGGAAGCCATTGTCCTCACTGTGCTCTCCTGAGGAGGGCCATAAATCAGGTATAAAAGCCACAGCCAGGGCTCCCTCCCAGTGCTGCTGTAATTACAGACCCTTGCAAGGCTGTGCGAGTCCCTGGGGTTTGATTTAAGAGCTCCCATAACCTCTTGGAGCCACAGAAAAACTCTGGGTGAACTCAGCCCTGTCTGGAAGAGCCCCTCCCAAAATGTCCCAAATCCAGAACACCACTGACAGCAAAACCATTTTACTCACCAGAGACTTTCTTCTGGTATTTGAGGTTGGGCAAGCACCAAAACCTCACGCTGCTCCAGCCAGGAGTTCTGGGCATTCATTTGTCACCAAGGGCACCTCCTGAAGGCCAGCACTGATGTGCCAAGTGCTTGGCAACTGCACAGGGACAGAAAATAAAACCACCAAAAAATTATGAATTATTACTGGAATTCACTGTTCCACTGCTCTCCCTTAATAAGGGAAGGGAACAGCAAAGAGGAAAATTATAGAATAAATCAATCATAGAATGGTTTGGCCTGGAAGGGACTTCAAAGAGCATTTAATTCCAGCCTCTGCCATGGGCAGGGACATCTTCCACTAGACCAGGTTGCTCCAAGCCCCATCCAGCCTGACCTAAATATCAAATAGAATATTATAGCCCCACACATCACTTACCCCCACAAACTGCAACATTTTGCCAAGGAAATTGTGAAAAGCCTCACTCCAGCCCAGCACAGGGCTGTGTATCACTGGGTACTCACTCACATTTCCTGTGCAGCAGCAATTCCTGCTCCCACCCCTCTGCAGAAGCAGGGTCTGCTCTGATGAGACATCACCACACAAAAAAAGGTTTAGAAATCTGGCACAAAATCCACAGGTTGGATTCCTTCCCCCTTTGAAAACAGAAGACTGACAAAGCCAACTCCAAGCCAAGAAATGGGAAGGATTGCTTGATTTAAATTCTCCTCTTCTGTACCTGTAAAAGAATAAATTCTTATATTAATCAATTAGGTAAAACCAGGAGGACAACAGGGCTCTCTGCACTGGTTTGTGAAGAGCCAGTCTCAGCTGCTGGGATGTTTCAGCAAAACCATCTCTCTTAGTGGCTGACACAAAGCCATTTTAGAGGAAAAGAGCATCGGAACCAAGCCCAGATGTTGCTCCAAATAAAGGAAATGTCTTTTCATTACTTTGGGCCCATTTCTTCCCCAGCAAACCTCTGATGGTGACAATTGTTCTTGGCTGATATCAGTGGATTTAAGCTGCAAGTGCTTGGGGTGTCCTGTGCAGAGCCAGGAGTGAGAACTGGATGATCCCTGTGGGTCCCTTCCAGCTCAGGATAGTCTGTGATATTTAAATCTGATATTAAAATCCCTGGATTGCCCAGCTGGGTGCAGAATTCAGGCATTTCACTCCTGCTTCCCCCAGCCAGGAGCCCTCAGTGAAGCTCGAGGGGTTTTCATTCTGTAGAGACATCAAACTCCTCACTGCCACTTTCAGAATGCCTGAAAGAATTTTATATTTTCTTTAAAATAATAAACAAATATTCAAAAATCCTTTTCCTAACATCCCCTTTTCTGGTGCTTACAGCTCTCCATCAGCTCCTCAGACACCGAGCAGGATCCAGGAGCAGAGCCAGGGGACAGGCAGGGACAGAATTCCTGCTGCTCCCATGGACTCATGATTCACTGGTGGGAGCTGCTGGAGAAGGCAATAAAAGCCAAACAGATAATGGCTGCACTGTAGAGAAAATGTTCAGCAATTAAATTAAAATGGAAGCTCTTTTCTATGTGCCACATTTGCATCTTCTCACCAGGCAACTAAAAAAAGCCCCATAAAGAAGTAAAGAAAATATTTAAAGTTTACTTTACAAAGTGCTGAGAAAAATGAAGTCTTGCATACATGGTTTTATTTATGAAAGTGGAGAAACTAAATGTATTTTTGGGTAGGAATTTTAAAAGTGTTAAAATTAGGCATTTAGGCACTGGAAAAGTGTTCCAAAAGTAACACAGCATACCGAGATTATCTACTTAATGGGGTTCCAAAAATAAATTGAAATTAAAATTTGGAAGCTTAGGTAAAGTGCATTAAACACTGATAAATTAATAACATGTAACATGGAAATTAAATAGGAATTCTGCCTTCATAGCAAACACACATGGAAAACTTCACCTCAAATAGACAAAAATTAAAAGCAACTTGAATATTGATCACATCTTCAGATCACACTGGAAAAACTATTTTTCTGCATGATATTCTCATTATAGTCACTAAAACTAATGTATAACTATCAGAGTGAAAAAATATTAGGAAAAGGGAACCTGTAATCGTCTTCTTAGGAATTGTATTAACTAATTAATCCTGACAAGCAACAGTTTCACTCAAGTCATAACAATTTCAATTGGAGCTCCCAAAGAGCTTCCTGCCACTCTTTATTTCTCATGAGTTAAGTGTGTTTTTGGCCAAATGCTGACATTCCCTTTCACCCTCTTTTACCTTCAAACCAGCCCTTTCCTGTCACTCTCTGCCTGTGAAGAAATTTGCTTTCCTTCTTTCCTCTAAGCCCTCTTTAACTCCTGGAAGGGGACTTAAGTTCTCCCTGCAGCCTTCTGGAGCAGTCACAGCCTCACACCTTTAAACCACACAGGTTCTGACAGAGAAGAATTGCAGATTTCTGTCGTGTCCTGCAGAAGGTAAATAAAGAAGGGAACACCCTGCAAACACCACTTGCACTTGCTGAGTTTGTTTACCCCCAGATCCAGCACGCTGCAGGTCCCAGGGCTGAGGATTAGCAGCAGCAAAGGACAAGGACAAAGGGTCTGGGCTGAGTTCTGGGACAAACAAACCCATCCGAGGCCTCGGGGAAAAAAATGCAAATGAGCAGCTCTGTATCTAAATATTGGCTTTCAAAACAAATGCTTACTCGGATTATTCAGGTAATTCAAATTATCAGGGCACTGGCAAAGGGAATTCCTGGAAGCTTTGGCTGTCAACTGAAGGAAACAGAGTGGGACTCTCAAAGTGGGTTAAAAAGTTCAGCAGAGCTGTGGCAAATCCTGCTGGGGCCAGGGGGAATTGATTTATTAAAAAATATGGATATTGATCTAGTACTGATATCCAACTGTGACGGACAAAATCTCTCTAAGAGTTTAAAGTTAGAAATTGTGTGTTTATTGTGTGTGGGATCACTCCCAAATCCACACCGTGCTTTCTGAGTGATTACAGAGCACTTTTATCCATACAAGTATTGAATACCCAAAATACAAATCCATATTCATCATTTTGGTACACCCCATTCCTCACTTCATATGCTAATCATTTCAAAATCTATTCAGCATGAAGTTTGTTCCTTGAAATGGGTCGGTGTCCCTTTCATGGGGAGGGGTCCCAAAATGAGGAAGTCAATTAAGTCTTCCTTGTTCTGACTTTCTACCTTTTCAATGCAAATTTGACAAATGAACTCTTGGTAGAACTCCCATTCCTTGTCTTCAGTTGGTTTCAGAACAGAGGAGGTCACAATTGTCTTATGTTCCTAAAAGCTATTTGTCAGTTTATGTATTCTTCATTATAAACCCAGCTAACTCAACATTGTGTTGACAAGCAATCAATTATTAGTTAACTACTAGCACCTAACTTCATCAAGGCCTACTCATTTATTTTCATTAACTGTAGTAAGGCTTATCTCTAACTAAAATCTTAGCTCCTCTAAAATCTCTAAATTCCTTAAAATTTACATTTCAGAATAACACCCAGGGGCTGCTGGGGACACCGAGTTCCTCCTTCCACCCACTGAGCTCTCCATGGCTTTCCTGGAAACCTCGTCCTGCCAGCATGGAAAGGCTGGATCATACAGATAATATGGGATATTTACTAATGGCTGCTAATTCAGAATTAATGTCAGGGTAAAGAGACTTGCAGAACACAATGGGGTCCCTAGAAGGCACACCTGCTGCTAGCTCAGAAATATTCCTGGTTTTTATAGAGCTGCCCCCAATTCAGTGCACACAGAACCTAAAGCAAGACAACAACCAGTCCCCTGCTCTTTTGTGCTTAAACAAGTCACCAACTTTCAATGAGACAAAAAACAACAAAATCTAAATGTATGCCTCCATCAGCTCCAGGCCATTCACATTTGTCCTGTCACTACAGGACCTTGCAATAGGGCACACCACATTCATACACACAGATACCTGCATCACAAAAATGTCTTTCTCATAACACAGAAATTACCAAGTGCCCAGAAGCCAGCTCATAAAATAGGGATATTATTAATTTGTAATACCTTGGATTTAATTTGATTAAAACACTCCTTGCTGTGGGAGTAGCTCAGAAATGTGCCTGGGCATTGGACACCCAGCCCTGAGCCCTGTTGTTCCCTTGGGGAGTGCTAATGACATTTGATTGCTCAGACCTTTGGAATTCCAGAGCTCTGTGCCCCAGCCGAGCCCCCAGCCTTCCCAGGAGTGTTTGCTCAGGGATGGATGGGACAGGAGCACAGGAGAGGCTGCAAGGCCTGAGCCCCCATCACTCCATCAGCCAGGGGCTGCTGAGAGTTCCCAGCCTGCTCTTTGGGATGAGCAGCAGCTCCCCAGGGATCTCTCAGCACACCTGGGACAGAGAGAGGGGCCCGGGGGTTCTGGAGCTCAAGCACTGGGCCACTGAATTTACAGATGCACGTGCAAGTACTGCACTGCCCAGTGCAACCAGAGTTTGCCTCTGCAATTCCAGATGGAGTGTGCCTAATGTGAAGGCTGTACATACATTTTTAACAGCTGCTGCAATAGTGACATCCTCTTTTTCAAAGGAATTCGTGCACCGGTGGGAGAAATTCTGAGTGATTCCACAGACACTTGGGCACTTCTGGAGCTCTGCTGTTGTACCATCATTGATCTCAGCCTTCCACTGTGACATAAAACCTGATCTTGGACATGAATAGCTCTGAGAAATAGCAGCAGATTTCAGATTGTGCACATTGTATTTAATATTAAATAAAGCTCAACATTTCCCTCTTTCTTCCTCTGCTGCTTTATAGATCCAATAACCTTTATCTGCATTCCAGATGTCGGGAGAAGAGGAGCTGCTGTTTGCAAAGCATTTGCAAATGAAAAGCATTACATAAATGTAAGGTAAGCTATTATTGCTATAGTTCCTTGAAGCTGATAATACCATTACACCCCCAGGGATGCTGGGCAGCCTCTCATAATGAAGTCTAATTCAGCACAGTGAATAATGGAATTATGCAGAAGCAACAGTTTCCTCTTCTCCTTGGACTAACTGCACTCAATGTGGCTTTCTCTGTTCTTCTCAGACACCTGTGCTGCTTCCAGCAGGACATTGTGTTCTGGGAAAACAAGCCCTCCCACAAATATTCAAAAT